TATCATATAGTATTTAGAGCAAAAAATATCGTCTTCATTTCTTATAGTGATTAAGAACTTTTACGTTTTTTTCTGCTTTCGGGTTGAGCATTTTGTTTTCGGGCCTTGGACTGATCCATTTGAACCGAAACAATCAAGACCAAAAACATCAAGATTCTAACAAAAGGTTCTATGATATTTTTTATTCAATAGGTCAAAAGAAATAGAATGAGAACGAAAAGGCAGAACGTTTTGTTATAATCTTGATGTTTTTGGTGAAAAAAGTTGTATGAGCAATTGTCTTTGATAAAGGAAAATATTAAAAATGGTATAGATGATAATTCTATGTAAAAATTTGAGTTTATTTGACACATGAAAATCTCAAGATGTAATTATAAGAAGCCCGCTGTCGGATTCGCTTTGAAATTCTGCATATACCACCTTAGTTTCATAAAGTTTGGTCCGACGCGGAGCTTGCACCTAATTTTCTAATGTTAATGGTTGCCGTAAATAATAAATAAACGAGCACAATCATAAAATATTCTACTAAAATGCCTCAGCAAAAGTTTCCAGTTTATATAAGATAGAAGTAATAAGGTTAGGTTAACCGGACAGTTAGAGCGCCTGGTTAATCGGATACTCAAAGGTAGCTTAAAAAATAAGTAAAAAAAAGAATATGTGTCGAACGAGAATCGAATTCGCCGACTATAAAGCACTATCAGAATTGAGATTGCTACATTTTTGTCTCTAGATTCAACTTTGGAAAATTGTTAACCTCACTGTTAACCTCGCGCGCACTGTGAACCCTTCAGACCACCCTCATCCTCATCCTAGCCCACTCATACACTTAGTGTTTGCTTTTATCAAGTTTTTCAATTCATCAGAGAAATATTCCAACTTTGTCTTGGAATATTTGCTCACCTTTCTCATATTACATACCACTTCCCATCAACGGTGTAACTCGTTTCAGACTGCTTATACAAGTAACGTTTCAATGGAAAAGAGTAATAAGTAGTAATAAATATGTATTCGATACTAAATATTTTTTAAACTTTACAAAAAATAAACATTTAATTGTAAAAGGAGCATGAAACTCTGATGTAAAAACTAATGAATAATTGGTTTCATTACCTATATCTAATACCTAATTATTGTTTATTTTTCTATTCCACAGCATTTCCAGCTTTTGATTCAGACCATCATGGATTGACTTTCGAACAAAAATTAGCCAAATATGTAAGCATTGTTTGATCAAAAACAATTGCTACTTTAGCAGCAAAGAGAATTTATCAAAAATTAAGCTGATTGAGGCTTTTTTGTTGGCCAGTTTATCTTGCTTTATCATCATCTAAACCTTGCATCGTTTTATGGTGGTATAACGTGGAACAACTATATTAGTCAGTTTATCACAGAAGATGAAAATATAATAACAGCAAATAAATGGAAATAACATCCGAGACAGCTGATTTATTACAAAATGATCCATTTTATTCTCGATATGTACGATTTGATCGTGATAAATGGCAATTCTCACCAATTATACAAGTTGAATATTCACAATTGACAACATCTAGTAAGTATAGGTATCACTAGCACACTTCTTTCATTGTTTGCATGTAAAAACTAGCGTTCTAGGTACTGATGATTTTCAACGACAATCAAGAAAATTAACAAAACGAGCACAGACGTCTAATAGTGAATGAAACATGGAGGAACAATTTGCTGCCGTACGTTCTTTAAGACGATTATCCACGGAAAGTCCAGCAAAAACAAAAAAATGATCTGAATGGATAGACATGTTCAAACTTTACCAAAAATGTATTTCCTTTTTTTATGCAAATAACGTTTTACACTGTGTTGTTTGTGTGTGGTAGTAAGTTAGTAGTAGTAGTACAATAAAAGTTTTGTTTCATACTGTGAAAGAACCAAAGAACGAAAATAATCATAATAATAATCAAAAATCCGGGAAGCGCTTTCTCCAGCATTTTTCGAACTTTAGGCTATAAGGCGACACCTCACGTATGACAGGTGATATTGATCGATTTCAACCAGTCCATCCAGAATTCATACAAAGTTCAGGAAGATATCATCTTGTAGAGAAAAGTGAACTCTACGAGACTAGCATAAGTTCCGAATTTTAGAAATTGCTTTTAAATCCAACGTTTAGGGAATACAAAAGTCGATGCCATTTTGAGAACCAAAATTTGAAAAAAACACATACTAAACTTTCTTTTTCAAAATTTCAAAATAGACAGTTTTCTTCAGTTTCTCATACTCTTTCAAATGGTGTATAAACAGGATTTTTCCATTAAACTTTAAATCGAAAAAAGTTCATTGTTTTGGAATTTTCTTCCCT